ATTAACCTAATCAAGTTTAGGGGGAGGAAAACAATAACTGCTTGGTTTGCAAAATCATTCCCAAGAGTCTTGGTTTCAGACTCAAGGACAAAACGAGGCTGCGTGTGAATTAATTAGCTGTGCTCGGACGGAATGTGAGCCTCTGGGGCTTCCTGCTCGCGCTGCAGTTCAGCAGATGCACCTCTGAGCCACGCGCCAAGCTCGGCCCCGTCCGGCTAATTGCTCAGGCTTCGCTTGCTCTTCCTTAGCGTCTGCCCACCAAGGGGCTCAGGTCTGCCCACGTTCCCGAGCCTGTTATCAGAATCAAAGGAGCAAAATCTGCCCAGTGAGATTCAGACCAGAAGAACTGAGTCACTGTGAACTTGCTGACAGGGCCTCAGCAGTCAGAGAGGAGCTGAACTGGGAAGAAGACCGAGCCATACTGCATGTGGCCTGACCTATAGGGGGTCGCCGTACTCCCTGCGGTGCTCCTGGCTTGTCTAAAGACTTCCAGGAAGGGGGAAGGCCCTCTTGACACCAGTATCCTGAAAGCAATGAAGAAACCTGCAATTCAGCTCGCCCAGGCCCCCCGTTTACACCTGTCGTCACGGCTCGATTATTAATACTGCCACCTTTCATTTTCAAACTTGTCTCAATTTGCACAATATAGTTTCTGGTTACTATGTGACAGTAAGTATCTTATGGTCCTTTTGTGATAACAAATCCTCTTCATAGCCAGCCTTCACAAGATCATGAGCATTTGTGAGCTTGGTGCTACAGCAGCATCCTCATCGCTGTCACTAGGCCGAGATGACCTGCCTCCTACGTGGCAGAGCTAGGTCCCACGTCAGGCGTTCAGACTCTCAGGCCAAGTACTCAGCTACCCCTCCCTCCCCGAGAGCCATCAGTACCTCACTCTGGGCTTCTGCTTCGCGTTCTTACTGAAGTTCAGTATCCCTGTATGAATGGTCCACATCTTCCCAGTGACCTTCTCCCAAGTGGTCATTTGAATAGCGGAGACTGATTTTCAGGGACCTCGTTAAACCCCAGGCATTGTGTTCTACGAGGTTGGTCAAATCCTCTCGATTCATCAGGAAGTAGGCTCCAAGAGCTCCACTCATCTAGGGATGACCACCGAGAGCACATTCTGAGCACACAGTCAGACCAAAGCTGTTCCTGCTTCAGTGCCTGCCTCCTGTCTTGCCACATTGCCTACCAAACTTCGTTCAATTTCTATGACCCTTTTCAAGTGTGAAAAGTAGAGTAGCCATTCTTCCATACTGCTGTCACTGTGAGCCGCTCACAGAGGTCAAGAAGGAAGCATCCGGGTGGGTAAAGTGACTTCTGTAGTGAAAGAGCCTTTTCCTCCCAGCCTGGCAAATCCGGTGATTTCCATCTGCGAGTGGGTATCCTACACACAGGCGTGTATCTGAAGTACTCCTGGACAAAGGTCTAACCAGCTTGTACTTTTTAGGACCCATCTTCCCTTGGCCTGGATCTATTGTTCATCTAGCCGTTAAAGATCATAATAAGGGATCAGCAAGTGGTGAAGTAGTTAAGGTGCTGGATTCCCATGTGGTTGATCCCGGTTTGAGTCCCAGACCCGGCAACTTGAAACATACCAGGTGCATGGGAATGTATGCCCAAAACCCTGAGAGGAGACTGGAAGAGAAGGGACTGAATCATGGCCATCCCCCGGGGAGTGATTTCTCACTTTCCGTCTCTCTGTCTCCGTCCAGCAAGCACATGCACCACATAGCAAAAATCTCTCCAAAAAATCACAATAATATGAAAATAACTGATATTTATTCATTCACTCACTTATCTATTCAATGAATAATGCATCTATTTAATGCTAACAATAATAATAAAAGATAACATACATTTATTTGCACATTCAAAAGTTAAGTGTATTTTTTGGGACCAGCAGTTAGCGTAATGGCTATGTCGCTGGACTCCCATGTAGTCGACCGCGGTTCAAGTCCCGGACCCGGTGGCTTAAAACCTCACGCCAGGCATGTGTGCATGCATGCCCAAGATCCCGAGAGGAGAATAGAGAAGAAGGGATTGCAGCGTAGTCTTTCCTGAAAACTGAGGGTCTGTGCTTTTCGAAGCTAGTGTCCACTAGATCTGTGTGTGGGTGCAGATTAGGGCCCCAGTGGCACTGATGACCCTCTGCTCCAACCTTGCTGAAGAGCGCGTCAGCTCCTCCGGGGGAGGAGGTCACTTGGAGGACTCTGACAAGGGCAGCCCCCTTAGCCTTGGTGCCAGGCAGAGCTTCCTATGTGTCAGCCTCACTGTCAGCTAGGGCAGGGGTAAGTCGCTGTCACTGACTCTGTCGCCCCCTGGCAAGACCTAAGGCCTCTTTGAGCCTGGGCAGTTGTTTCAGCTGCTACAAAGCATGCATGGTAAGTGGGGTTTGCAACAAACAGCCTTTTGTCTGCAGATCACTGCTCCCGCTGGGAATCCTGGCTATTTTTGCTCAGTAGACCTAAGATTGATTATGTCCATGGGTCCTCTTCACCTGATCATCATTATTACTATGAAAGGCTTGAAACCCTTATTATTACTCATTCTTCGGGGCTGAGATGGAAGCCTGGAGACTGTAAAACGAGTTTACTTCGCTGCTGGCTTGATTAGTCACTCGTATACCCAGATGAGCATTTCCTAGGAGGAAACATGGCCCAGGAAATGGCTTGTGTTCCAGCATTTACAAAAGGCAGGGCATTTAGTAGCTCTCTCTTCATACCCTGCAAGTGGACATGTTGGTATTTCTATTGATAAATAACAGTGAGGAAAGAGAACTGTGGCCATCCATGTTCTCAGGGACTAAATCCCCTTTGCTCTTTTTTTTTTTTTTCTTTTTTTGGACAGGATTTTGCTATAGGGTGCATGCACTCACCAGAAAGACAGAGAGAGACAGAGAGACAGAAAGCAAGAAATCACCCCCCAGAGGGGATGGCCACGCTGCAGTCCCTTCTCCTCCACTCTCCTTTCGGGATCCTGGGCACACATGTGCACATACCCAGCATGAGTTTAAGCCACTGGGTCTGGGACTCGAACCATGGTCAACTACATGGGAGTCCAGTGACGTAGCCATTACGCTAACTGCTGGTCCCTTCCCCCTTGCTCTTTCTTGAATGGAGATAACCTAGATCTTGTAAGACACAGCCCGTAAAGACCATCCGCTCCCATCTGGTAGCCTCACAAGTGGGTGATTACAAAGCTGAGCGTCAATGGGGACAGCTGGGCCCCATGGGGGATAGAGAGCCAGCGTGGACGAAACAATGGAAAGAAGAATTTCTGAGACCAAGTTTACCTGCTTCTACGAAAGAATTTTGCCTTCAAACTTGCCAGCTTTTACAAAAAAGTGTTTATTCTATCACCATTTCTGTATGTCTAGGATTGGGGTGTGGCTTTTCTGGATCCTCCAAATCGGAGTCTCTTACGAGGCAGGTCAGGTGTTATTTTCTCAAGGCTCAACTCAGGGGAGGATCTTCTTCCAAACTTGTGCTCGTGTCTGTGGACAGGGCTCAGGTCTTCACTAGCTGTTAGCTGGAGACTCATGGTCCTCTACGTAGGGCTCCTCACAACCTGGTAGCCTGCTTTTCCCAGAGGGCAGACTCTGAGAGAGAATGAGAAGAGGGAGAGGGGGTGGGGGCAGTTCACAATTCATCACCTCTAGCTTTGTCTGACGTGGCCTCAGCCCTTGCGTGGTACTCCGTCTGATAGAAGCAAGCCGCTGTGCTCTCCCCGCATCATGGGCGGGGGTAGCATGAGAGTAGGAGCATCAGGAATCAGGGGTCACTGGGGGCCATCTCAGGTAGATGCTGCCGGCCACAACAGTGACCTTATTCTCCCTGGGCATGAGTGTGGCTTTAATTTGATTCTTTTAATGAGCTTCTCTCTCTTTTTTTTTTTTTTTGAGGGGTTTTTCACTATACGGGGGGTACACACGCCGACAGACAGACAGAAAGGGAGA